TACTGAATGCAAATTTAAACCTTCTCCTGAATAACACCCATTCATTGATACCTTTAGAGGGAAGTAACATTCAAATTTATTCACTCCAGGCAGTGGGAAAAGTAATTGTGTGCATCAGCCAAAGCTAGGATCTTCCTCTTTTAAGATTGCTCTGCTTGTCTCTGAAATACTAGTGAGAGAGTTAAGGCCATAGCAATATTCTTTCAGGTGGGATGATTCCTCTTCATAGGGCACTGTCCTTCACATTGTAAAACCTACTTCATGCTAAAGAAAACAAAATTATCAACCAGTTCCCCTATGTCTCAGGAAACCACGTTATACACAAACTTCTGTGAACCCAAAAAGAAGTGCTACACTAGCTTTCAAATTGAGAGGGAACACCGAGAAACCCCAGAAACATATCTGTCACTAAGATTCGTTCTCTGCACAATTCAGTGATTTCCCTGAATATTTGTATTACCGCAGTAGTATTCCTAATATGCCCAGATTACAGATGGTTAAAAAAGTTCTCAAAAAAGCAAACATGCCCCTTGCCCCAGTTCCTCTTTGGCAACCTACTTTCCAGGACCCGTCCCTTCTTTGGAGCTGTTTTTCCTTCCCTTTCCTCGCTTTGCGATGCCCACTCTCTGTGTCTGGCTCTCTATTCCTGAGTGTGCCTCACTCCAGGTAAGCGACCTGTTCACCCTGGAGCCCTGTGTTTATGCATCATATTCGCACCCAGCCCTCGTGTGTTCCTGCAGTCTGCGCCTGACTCCACCCATCTCGTTTGCGAGGCTTTTGGAAACAGGCTTTGCACGTGCGGACACGCACCAGCTTCTATCATCTCACCGTCTTAACAATCATTAACCGCATGGAGGACCGGGACCTGTGGACCCCACAGTTAAAGTCGCCCTCTCAGATGCCGCCCGGTTCAGCGCTCGTACCTGCAGGAACTTATTCCTGCCAGACCGAGATCCCTCTGTATTTCGGCTCCCACAACAGTGCGGCTCCCTGGAGTCCTCTGTAGCCAGGGAGCGCCTCTCTCACCCTTCACCAACGTTCAGTGACAGGGATAGCAAACCGCCCTAAGAAACGCGGAAAGGGGCAAAAGAAAGCACTTTTGACTCAAGATGGCGGCAGGGAGCACATGCGCAGAAGGAAATAGAAGGCTTCCTGAGTCACGTGACCGGAGGATGGGACTTCATTTCCCACAAAGCTCTGCGCCAATCCCTCAGCGACCGGCGTCCTAAACTTCCTCTGTTCGCCCGGAAGTAGTCTCGCTGCCTCTGGATCTTGGCGGCTTGGGTAAGTGTCGGGTTCTACCCCGGTGGTAGCGCTGTGTAGTTCTGCTGCTTTGTTACTTCCCAGTTTGACAGTCTTACACAATGTGGGACGAATGTGGAGATTTGAATAGTGTTGAATGATTTGAAATGATTAGGTTTCATTTTATTTTGCTTGGAAGTATTTCAGTTATAGGACCCATGACTATATTTTACAAATGCATTCTTTCTTTTAAAAAGAACTACTTATTTACTTTTTATTTGTTATTGTTATTATTACTATTAACTACAGGGCACACGTGCTCACCAGTCAGAGACACAGAGGGATAGTGAGAAAGCAAGTCGCCAGGTCTGCATTTCATACCGTGGTGGCCATTGGGAGTCCAGCGCCGTACTACCACGCCTTCTGCGGGCCCCACAAATGCATTTACATTGGGAGAAGTCATGTCTGTATTTTGCTTGTTAACACGGAGTAAATTATGTGTTAACTCTCTAAGCTATTAAGAAGATGTTCATTCTCACCCTTTAAACTATTGCGCAATTTCAATGGATTATATTACTCATTTGTAAAAACTATCTCCTGAATATAGGCGAATGAAATATTAGGATCATGGGGCCAGAAGGTGACCTGGCTGTTGGGACGATGGCCTCCCATATGACCGACTGTGCTTAGAGTCCCAGACCTTTTATCTTGCTTTCTCACTTTCTCTTTCTCTCTTAGGGCAGTTGTAGTTTACAATCCCTCTTTTAGATTACTTTTCATTATTTGGTCAGGAACTCCTCTAAGTTCCATTCATCCATGTATCACTCACTAAAACTTTTAACTGGGGTGGGATGTTTCTTTGTTTTTTCCTAGTGAGGTGAATCTAATTTTTGCCTTTGCATTACAGATGTCTGCCACCAACTTGGTTACAGATTGCACAGAGGTTTCTCAGAGCTTCCACTATCACTTCTTTTTTCTTTCTTTCTTTTCTTTTTTTTTTTAAGATGTTTTTGCCTTAGGGCATGTGCTCCCTGGAGAGAGAGAGAGAGAGAGAGAAAATGAGAAATCATTCCCTGGGGGAATGGCCATATCACAATGCATTCTCATTCATAGTCCCCTGGGGTCTTGGGTATGCACTCACACATGCCCAGTGAGAGTTTCAAGACCCTGGGTCCGAGATGCGAACCACAGTGGACCATGTGGAAGTCCAGTGATGTAACCAATATGCCATCTACTGGCACTCCACTATCACTTCTGCTCTTCCTCTGTACTCCTATCATCCAGGTTGATAATGGTTTGAGAGTGGGATAGCAAAAGTGAGGAAAATTTGGGGATGGGAGTATAGGGGATATAAGAGGCTTGACGTTTGCTCAAGACCTTATTATTGTTCTTCTTTGGTCTAACAATTATCCCTTAGTGACTCTCATCTGCAGATTCAAGGACCTCATCCTTGGTCTTATAAGACTCCACCATTGCCTCATACTTTGGAATTCCTGATCTGCTTTACTTAGACCTTTGAATACCAGATCTCTCTCTTAAGCACTATTGACATGATGTAGAGGATCCTTTAAATACAGGATGATTGACATTGGCTGGGTAAGGAGAGTCTGCTTCATATTCTGACATCTAGGTTAGGAATTGTCATTCCTTTTTGTTGTGGGCCTCAGTCTTCCATCCACAAAAATGGAGATTTTAGTATACAGTAGTATATATAGATTCCATTGTCCACTCATATCTCTATAATAACATAAAGGCCAAGAATGTGATCTCTTTCCTCCCCCTATGAAAATAAAGTCCACAGACCTAAGGAAAAGGACCTCAGGGATGATATGAGGTGTTTCCAGCATAGCCTTGTATTATAGATCTCAGTGTTCAAGTTTACACCTTTTAAATAAATTGTCAGAGAGCAATGAAATACAGAATGAAAATACAAGAGGTAGAATTAAGAGTGGGACTTGGATAGCCCATGGGAAACAGTGAATAGGAGAATCTTAACAGGACTATCCTTGAGTATAACAATCATGGAAGCCCTTGGCTTGTGCTTCTGAACCATCTGTCTTTATAGTTTGTAATGACCACCGCAGTCGTGTTGAAATGTGAGTGATTGCACTTGCTGATTCCAAGTGCTCTGTTTTGCTTGTTTAATTTTGCAAAATACTAAGTATAGCTTCTAATTTTTTATGCCATTTTACTAAACACTAATCACTAGTATTATTGGTGTAAGCTGTTTGGGGGGGGGTCCTTTATAGATTATCACATGAGATCTTCTTAACATTCCTAAAATGTGTTAAACCATTTTACAGAGCGTGGACTTCAGATTCATGTAGGGGAAACATTCTGTCAGTTGATAAGACACAGACCATAGATATTGCTTATCTTGGCATGAGTCTAAATTTATTCAAGTTTGACGAGGAATAAAGTTTAATTATGTACTTACATTAAAATATTAGGGTGAGCAATTTGAGCATTAGAACAAGCTTTTTTTTTTTTTATATACAGAATTATTTAACTTTATTCATGTATTTTAATTTGACCAGAGAGGGACAGAGTGAGAGAGAGAAAAAAAGCAAGCCATCAGATTTGGGACTTGAACTGCGGTCAGCCATGTGGGAGTTTAGTGCCCTTAACCATCATGCCACCTGCCAGCCCCAGAACAAGCTTATTTATGGGAAATGTTAAGATTATTTCACAAAACAGTATAATAATACTCTACAGTAAAGTGTACTCAGTGTGCAAATATCTATCTCTGTCAGTATATTTGAAAGGTGACGTGCCTATTAAGCACAGACATATTTGACTGGAGCCACAAACAGAATTTTAATTGCTATGTATATAGCACCCCTTCCTTAACACTGTTGTGTCAGCCATCTTCCCTTACTCACTGGCAGGGATGGCCCTGGCTGAACCTGAAGCCCATAATGTTTGAGGAATTAATGACATTCACAGATCTAGCTCTAGACAAAACCAGGAAGAGTGGACCTTACTATTCATAGATCCCATAGAATACTTTTTAGAGATGTGATGCTGTGGAAACTAACCAAATAAAATTGTATGGAATGCATAAAATTAAGTTTAACAGTCAAGAAGAAAACACCATCATTTTAATATGAAAAGCAATTCAAAAGTCAGTGGTGGCGAGGAGAAAACAATTTGCAATATCAACCTGATATATTTTTCCATCAGATTGTAGATTATACATGTAATTTATATTGTCCTATTAATTAAGTTGAACCACACACTTTCATTGGCTGTCATAAGCAATGTAGATGGCTAATACAGTTTTGAAGGCACTTAGGTTAATGTAGTTTGTCAGAAATTTTGGGAATATCTATTGTCCTTTAAAATGTGTTCTTGTGTATAGGATTAATACATTTGGAGGCATCTGATAAAATCACCTTCAGTGCCCCCACTCGTATATTGTCAGATGTGCAGGTAATCAAACAACAAAGAAATAAAGGGATATAGTATCAGAAGAATGCATGAATAAGTCACAATCCCATTGGCCACAATCAAATTTTAACATATCACACACAGAAAGGGTGTGGGAATGAAGCAAATCAGGGTGACTAGAGAGGAGAGATCAGGGAACTAGAGAAGAGACTCCCCCTCAGCCAGTCATCAGATCATGTTGATTTCTTTCTATTTTTTTTTGGAGAGGTTTTTGCTATAGGGCGTGTGTGCTCGCCAGACAGACAGAGAGAGACAGAGAGACAGAAAGCGAGAAATCACTCCCTGGGGGGATGACCACACCGCAGTCCCTTCTCCTCCATTCTCCTCTCAGGATCTTGGGCATGCACGCACATGCGCCCGGCATGAGTTTTAAGCCACCGGGTCCGGAACGTGAACTGCAATCAACTACGTGGGAGTCCAGTGACATAGCAATTATGCTAACTGCTGGTCCGATTTCTTTCTATTTTTCTACTCCTTTCCTAGGATTCCCCTGGAAATTTTTGGAGTAACCTCCTCTTCTGTTCTTTTGCCTTCACTTGAGACATATGTTAAGTAGATGGACCCCTATTCATTTTCCAACAAATAAACTTTTTAAAAAAGAAGTATTTATTGGGACCAGCAGTTGGCGTAATGGCTATGCCACTGGACTCCCATGTAGTCGGCCACAGTTTGAGTCCTGGATCCGGTGGCTTAAATTCACGCTGGGCGCATGTGTGTGTGTGCCTAAGATCCTGAGAGGAGAATGGAGGAGAAGGGATTGTGGTGTGGCCATCCTCCCTGGGGGGTGATTTCTCGTTTTCTCTCTCTCTGTCTTTCTGGCGAACGCATGTCCCCTATAGCAAAAATACCTCTCCAAAAAAAAAAAAAAAAAGTATTTATTTACTCAGTTGATTTGTTATTACTCTTTTTAAATTTGACCAGAGCGAGAGAGAGAAAGGGAAAGTGAGAAAACAAGCCTCTAGGTCTGGGACTCAAACAGTGGTCAGGTGGTCATCACAGTACCTGCTGACCCCCAGATAAACATTTCTGGGGCATGGTGTGTGTAGTGTTTTATTGTGAGGAGAGTATTGAAGTCATGTGAACTTTGCAAGATTGGCCCTTCCCTCATCTCAAATCCACCTACCCCTGCATTGGTCCTCCAGGTATTCACATTATAGTCATTCATTTAGAATGCATTGGTTTTCTGCATGTAACTTACTAAGCTAAAGAAGTGCCCTGCTTTTTCCCTCCTTGTGAATGAATGAGTGCAGCTAGCTCCTGTGTATGGACCGCTGGAAGAAATGGAGCTCTCACCCCTTACTAGCCAGTCCTTGTCTTCAGATGGAGAAGTTTTTGATAAAGGTGTATTTTATAAACAATTATATAATTCCGGGGCTGGCAAGTGGCATGGTAGTTAAGACACTGGACAGTACCAGTCCTAGACTTGGTGGCTTGTTCTTTCTTTCTGTCTCTCTCAAATTAAAGAATAATAATAAATAAAGTAAAAATAAATAATTCTTTAAAAAATAATATTATCCACTACAGGAAATTAGATAAAGGAATTCAGCTACAGACATTGGACTTAGATATTGCAAGACTCTTGATGACAAAGAGAGAAGGGATAGCCAATGGATATGAATGCAGTAATAGTTACATATGTAGTTACAAACTGAAGTATTTTGCCACTTTATATAATTCACCAAAATTCATTTTGGGAGAGTAAATTCTGCTCCCCAAATATTTCTGTTGAAACAAGAATACTTTCAGGACATCTGAATGTGACTGTATTTGGACAAGTGGTCTTTGAAGCGATAGTTGAAAAATGTCATTGGAGTGGGCTCTAAGTCAGTATGACTAATGTCCTTATAAGAAGAGGCAACTAGGACACTTCACATGACACAGGGAAGGGCATGTAAAGACACAGGGAGAAGCCTAGCACAATAAGCCAAGCAGGTGAGTCTTAGAAGAAATCAGCTCTGCAGAATCTTTTATCTCACTCTTAGACTTTACAACTGTGAGCAAATAGGTTTGTCTTTTTGCACCACCTGGTTTTCAGTATTTCATTATGGTAACCCTAGATGCTATTTGCAGGTTGTAAACTATTACAATTTTATTTTGAAAGGGAAGATAGAGTGGGACTGTTTGAAATACAGAAGTCACAAAGAAGTTCTATAATATTTATGGAGTATCGGAAATGATTTATTTTGCAAGACATGGTTGAGGAGGCAGGGACTTTGGAAGTCACTGAGAATAGTCATAACTCTACTGGCTCTGGGTCCAGTCCGAGCCTGTGAGCTGTGGTACCACTCGAGTGGCAACCGTTGGTGGAAGGAGAGGTAACTTTATTCAGGAAACTGGTCATCTGGGAAGATGGTGATATAATGTTCAAAGACTGACTCTGGAATCACAGACTTGTGATAAGGAAAGGTGAAGAGGGGGTGCTATGTGTCCTTTGTGGAGCCACAAAGAGTCTTGTTGTCTCCAAGGTTGCTATGCACAGGGTCACTTCACCTTGAAATCTCTTTTCTCTTTGTTTTCTTGGACATATCTGCCTCTGACTTGTGGTTTCAAGGTCCAGGTCTTGTGAAAGTTCAGCAATGCTAAGATTAGATTTTTTGCTACGAGTTGAACAGTGAAGTAAGGGCAGTTAGGTAAAGGGAGACTTACTCATTTTTAAGAGTCTCTTGGGGCCAGCAGATGGCATAGTGGCCTTGAACTCCCGCATAGTCAACTGCGGTTCAAATCTTGGACCCAGCTAATTGAAATTAATGCAAGAGGCATGTGCGTGACCCAGATCCCTAAAAGAGAATGGAGGAATAGGGATTGTGATGTGGCCACTCGCTTTAGAGGTGATTTCTCACTTTTTGTTTCTCTGGTGAGCATATGTGCCCTATAGCAACAATCTCTCTCTAACAAAAAGAGCAAGTCTTTTCTTTTTTTAATTTTCATTAAGGATTTTTCATTTAATTTTGTTATTTATTTTTCAGTTTTACCAGAGTAAGAGAGAAAAGGAAAGTGAGAAAGCAAGCCACCAGGTTGTGGACATGAACCATACTCACCTATGTGGGAGCCCTGCACCTTTACCACCATGCCACCTTCCAGCCTCTCTTTTTTTGGTTTGCTTTTGCTCTGGGGTATGTACACTCACTGCAGAGAGACATTACAGGGGAAAGTGTGAATCATCCTTCAGTGGGATAGCCATGCTACTACCCCTTTTCCATTCTCCTCTTAGGATTTTGAGCATGCATGAACATCTTCTTGGTGTTTTCAGCTGGGTCCAGGACTCAAACAGTGAGTCAACCATGTGCTATCCAGCTGCCTTAACCTCCATGCCACCAGCTGGCCTAAGAGCTAGTCTTCTGTCACATTAATATGGAGTTACATTGATTCTTTCTTATAGCCTGGCTATGTAGTAACATTATGTTTGGGTAAGGATCCATGTCTTAGTCATGTGCTCTCAAATGTAGTCCTGGAAGAGACAGAGTCTTGGAGTCTCCAGCTATTGAGGGCTTAAGTAGCAGGTTTCAGAAACAGCCCAAGGGATAAGAAAAATGTTATGTGTTTTATATTAATGTGTACCAAAATTAATGAGTGTGGATTATAACTGGGCAGAAGAAATGAAGAGTCTGGTGTTTGGGAATTACAGATTTCTTTTCTTTTTTTTTTTGGAGAGGTTTTTGCTATAGGGTGTGTGTGCTTGTCAGAAAGACAGAGAGATTTGAGAGACAGAAAGCGAGAAATCAACTCCCAGAGGGATGGCCATACCGCAATCCTTTCTCCTCTATTCTCCTCTAGGATCTTAGGTACACACATAGGTGCCCAGCATGAGTTTAAGCCATCGGGTCCAGGGATCAAACCATGGTCGACTACATGGGAATCCAGCGACATAGCCATTACACCATCTGCTTGTACCTGGGAATTACAAATTTCAGAATGGTGTAGGAACTGGATATGGGTAGTGAGTTTCAGGAAAAGAAAGTAGACATTGTAATGACATGGTGGGGATTTTTCTATTTATTAATATCAGTGGTGGCATTCCATGTAAAACCTAGGTGTTGTGTGCATCATTTAAAGAATTGGAACACAGGGGAGAGGCAAAATACAACTAAAATTATTGGTGTATTTTTGTCTCGATATATGAGTTTATATTATTAATGCTTTTGAAACCTCTATTAACATGGTGAATACTCTACAATCAACATAGTCATTACAAGGAATAAGTAATGCAAGGAGTAAGTAACTAAGGATGTGTGATCTGTAAACATATAGTCACATTTAATGTAGATTGACTTTTTTTGGCCATTCGGTACAAATCGAATCTATCCTACTTTTGCTTATGATCCATTATTATCATTTATGTATGAGGTAGATAGATTTAGTTATTATTGATATTTTATGTGAAATTTTATCTTTGTACACATTTCTTTTACATATAGTGTGTGTGTGTATAACTGAAAAGTGTGGATATTACAGTTAATGAAGATGAATAAACAAGACTCCAACAATTTCACTTACCACTTTAGTAGAATATCAAATAGGGTCACTAGATTTCCTTCTAACACTCAGTCAACTTGATATTTTCTGAGCATCCCTGACAGTGTCAGTATGTAACAGTCGTGCTATGACTCAGGTACTCTTGCTACCTCATGGTAAGGGGGGTTTTCAGGGCTAGATTATCAGGGAGAGAACCAATTGATCCCTGAAAGTAGAATAAATTTTTGAATTGAATAATCTGATCAGAAAGCATTCTTTTTTTTTTAAAATCAATTTAATTACATTCATTATAATTTTTTAATTTGACCAGAGAGAAAGAAATGGAAAGTGAGAAAGCAAGCTACCAGGTCCAAGACTCGAACCACGGTCAACCATGTGGGAATCCAGTGCCTTTAACCACCACACTACCTGCGGTCCCAGAAAACATTCTTATTTGATTAATAGCTAATTCCATGGAAGAAAGATGTCAAAGTCAGAGTTAAATGAGGGCAGAAAGGGAGTGAAATTCCAAATAGCTGGGGTGAATTCTGGAGAACCTTGGTTGGCAAATGAAGGGATGATGAAATCTGAGAGACTCCCAATTATTCACTTAGAGATTAAAAACCAAAATCCACCAGTGGAATGAGTCAAGGATCTCTGATTTGGAACCTGGGAGTGACTGGTCACTATGGGCTGTCTAACTGATCAGAAAAACTCAATACTTTTCATGTTCTAATTCATAAGACCTATGTATCTCTGTGGTCTTTATTAGCAACGATGCCTATGTTTTGTTCAGTACTGACCTTGGATATGAGATTTCTGAGCCTGTTCTTAGCGCTTACTGCCCTTTTCTGTTTCTTGGGTGGGGGCTCATAGTCAAGTGAAGCTCTGAATTTTCATGATAAATGGTTCTGGAACTTATGCACAAGACTGGAGTCTCATGGCTTCCTTCTCCATCCAGTTTTCCCTGCTTAGTGCTTGGACTATCTATGAGTGAGAATCCAGAAGACAACAATGGGAAACTGAGTTATTGGCAATGGATCCACTGGTGAGTAGAGAATGCCTTTTTCTATAGAAACTGCCCTCCTGTCACCAGATGGTCCAGTTTCTCCTATTTCTATGGATTTTTCCAAGGGTTGTCATGAGATATTCAGGAATCTGGGCTTCTAGCCTTCATTGTGATTTCATATTTCCAGAAGCTATGTGATGTTTTTTTCTCTCATCTAGCCCATGGTCTCTTTGGAAAATAACATAATTGATTCATCATCCATGCAGTTAACAGCACTTGGTTTAGGAGTGTGGTGAAAGCAGGTGATAGAAATGAGTGAGGGGTAGAACTTCATAGTACAAATGGGAGGCAGATGTTTTAGCAGGTTGTTTATTCAGTCTAGTGTCAAAAGTCCTGGAGTGAGGTCTGTGTAGTAATAAGGGACAATGAATAATGATTTGGCCAGGAAAAAGGTGAAGAATCATTTACTTTCTTATTCCAACTTAAAACTTTTTAAAATTTAGTTAAGTACATTTGAACTTTTAAAAATTTCTAAAAAGAATACTAAAAAAACTTATTATACTTATCTCTAATCATTCTTTCTACCTTTTAGTAACTAATCATTTTTTCACATTTGATACCTGGGAATAGTGTATGGGAAGTAATATTAAATTTATAGTAGCTGTGCAGTTAGGTGCATAACAGGAGGATAAGTATAATAGGTAGAATAATATTGCCGTTCTTGGGACCAGCAGTTAGCGTAATGGCTATGTTGCTGGACTCCCATGTAATTGACTGAGGTTTGCGTCCCTCACCCGGTGGCTTAAAACTCATGCTGGGCGCATGTGTGTGCGAGCCCAAGATCCCGAGAGGAGAAAGGAGGAGAAGGGATTGCGGCGTGGCCGTCCCCACTAGGGGGTGATTTCTCGCTTTCTGTCTCTCTGTCTGTCTCTGTCTGTCTGGCAAGCGCACGTGCCCTATAGCAAAAGCTTCTCAAAACAAAACCAAAAACAAACAAAAAAAGAATAATATTGCCGTTCTGGAGAAAACTATTTGAATAGAGGCTTATTTTTTACTTGAACAGACAGATAAGATAGAAGACAGGCAATGATGGGGCCAGCAGGTGGTGTAGTGGTTAAGGTGCTGGGCAGCCATGTGGTTAATCGCCATTCTACTCCTGGACCCAGTAGCTTGGAAATCAGGCCATGCGTGTGTGTACGTGTGTATGCACAAAATACCCAGAGTAGAATGGAAGAAGAGGGATTATGGCATGGCAAGTCCCACGGGGGTGGGTGGGGTGATTTCTCACTTTCTCTCTCTGTCTCACCGGTGAGCACACGTACCTTATAACAAAAATCTCTCTCTCA